TTCTGCCACTGTCCCCCAGGCACTAGATTTTTTAGTGGAGCTATTTGAGTCAGGAATCGGTTACAGTGGTATTAACACTGCAAGGTCTGCTCTATCCAGTGTCTTAAAGTCTAAGCCAGGGTCGAAACCCACTGTTGTTAAGTTTGAAGCTTACCCGGACAACCCTAACATTTGTGTTGTCACTACCTTGAAGTAATCGTACCTCTTCTCTACGTGGAGGTGCACAACAATTGTTTATTAGTCATTACAAGCCATTTAAACCAGTTTCCCGGGACACCATCAGTAGATGGGTCAAAGCTGTAATGCAAAAGTCAGGAATTGATGTAAACCTTTTCAAGCCCCACAGTACTAGGGCTGCCGCAACATCTAAGGCTTTGTTGAAATCTGTACCATTAGAGCACATCTTATCAGTTGCAGGATGGAGCTCATTTGACACCTTTGCAAAGTTTTATAGCAAGCCTGTTATCAACACAGATAGCTTTTCTAACGTTTTGTTACAAGAGTAAAGTTAATAAACTGTTTTTGACCAATATGACTTGCTTGGTTGGTCATTACTCTGTTCATGTGTGCAGTGGGCTTTGAAGTCTCACGTGAGCCCTCAGTGCGGTGACGGAATAGAATTGGAAAATTAAACGAGACTTACCTGTAAGTTGAAGTTTGATTGAAATTCTATCCGTCACCAAGCACTGAGGGATTACGTGCCCTCCCTTTTAAGGCCCTCCCATTTTGCTGGTCAGGGTTTTCTTTCCCCTGCACACATGGCAAGTGCTTTAAAAACTGAGTTCGCGCAGGCGCAATGCTATCTCACGTGAGCCCTCAGTGCTTGGTGACGGATAGAATTTCAATCAAACTTCAACTTACAGGTAAGTCTCGTTTAATTTTCCAATTTTCCTTCTATATTTTTTAAATCTCTTCCTATCAATTTAGATACACGTGTTTAACGCATCTATTTTCTATTTTTTCTCTTTATCTTATATGCGTTCTATATTTTTTATATTCATTCCATATGTTTTGTCGTTCCGAGTGAGATTTTTTATTTTCTTTCTAATTAGTATGCAACACGTGATCACATGACCACGCTACACTTTTTCCATTCCGCCATTTTGGCGTTCGGCTATATGGAGGAAGAGCTATCGACTGCTTGTCGTGCGGCCGCGGATGCTTTAGAGATTTTAAGTAATTTGAGACCTGGTTTTAAGAGAAATGTAATACCTCGGATGAATTCAACGTCAGTCTCAGTCAGTCAGCCGAACAACGGGGATCGTAAGGTAAACAACGAGGAACTTCAGTCGAACGAACTTGCCATTCAGTCCTCGACGTCGCCAGCCTCTAACAGTTTTAATTCAAGCTCGGCTTGCCACTCTCTTTCTGACAATTGGTTCGAACCGAGCTAGTGGGAAAAGCACTAGTAGAAGACCAGCAAG